ACAGTTTGTGTGGTGCGAGAGTCAATGAAAAGGAAAGTTCATGGACCGGATTCGTGACAATTTCACTGTGTCCATTTCCATTTTGCAGTGTGATCAGAAGATACAGTAAAAGTTATTTCCACATTTGTAAAGGTTGGGAGGAGAGAGTTATTCTTTTGTAACAGAGATCTGTTGAAGCATAGCTAAAAACATTAATATTAGTATATTAGTATATTATATAAAAAAATAATAAGATAAATCTTTTTTTTTTAAATTAGATAAATATTTTAGTTCAAATTGATTGGTAAAGCTTTTTTTTATAAAACAGAAAACACTGGTATATAACCAGTAAACAAGTTAAAGACAACAACAATGACTCTTAAGAACTATATTTTTTAAATAAATGTATATACATTTAATGGACTGAAAGATGAAATGTATAAATTAAGATTTCGTTTTTTTTCTGTTCTTTTTTTCTATGTGGCCTACATGAACCTCAGTTTGAAAACCCCTTTATCCCTCATCTAACTGTCTCTTAGTACTTTTCTTAGTAAGTTTCTTTTTCAGCTTCTTGTTCTCTTTTTGTGACATTTCTGTTAGCTTTTGCTTTTTCATTCTCATGTTTTTCTCTCCATTTCCTCCTCTATATTTGGCCTGTGCCTCCATTCTCATTCTCAATATCAAAGAGGAGCACACTGGCAGAGAGCGTCTCGATTGGAAAGATGAGCTAGCTAGTGCACAGGATGCAGGAGAACATCAACTCGTCGGCAGTCATATTTTTGACTCCTCATAGCCTGTGGACATAATCAGAGAGCTCTCCCTCTGCCTAGTCAACACTGATTTATCAGGGAACCTTTGTGGGTGATCATTATTCCGCGGGGTTCCTGATAAGGACCATCAGGATCATCAATCCCAAAGGCTCATGCGCTTGTAGATTAGAGAACAATCACGAAGGAAGGTTTGGCCCCATTTTTGCTGCCTCGGCTGTGCAAGTGGAGCCTCATTCCTCATGGGACTACAGACATCTACCTTGTACAATGACTGTTTATCCCTGCTGCTGAAGCTACTGCTTTAACCTGCCAGATTGGGTGCAGAAAAGCTCTTGGTGGTTATTGGTGGGTTACTGTACATCTGACAGCAAGATGGATTGCAAGGACACACAAATTTAGGTTGTTTAAAGGAATTTTCTGAGTTCAGTATAAATTAAGCTCAATCTTGTGGCATGATGTTGACAAAAATCATATGAACATGTCCCTCTTTTTATGGGTTATACAGTGAGGCACTTATAATGGAGGCGAATCTGTAAATGTCCTATGTCAATGTAAATTTACGCAAATGTTAAATACACAGTTGTAGGTTTCAATAGCAAAGCCATAAGTGGTAGGCTAAACAATATGCGTGTATATTATATCATTGTAAAAAAGCTTAAAAAATAATTTTATGTAGTAAATGCAATTTTATTTCTTTGTTTTCATGACAACCTAAAACCTTGAAATGACCGAAAAATTGACGAGAAAACTTTACAGCTCAAATAATACACCATTTTTAATGAAAAAATTAGTGTAAGTGCTTTTATAAAATTATAAACCTCAAATTTCTGCTTTCAATTTCTGATTTTCAAAAACTGGCTCCATTTACTTTTACTATAAGTGCCTCACAAAGGCCCATTAACACCAAGGATGATCATTATAATGATAAAGATATAGTTTTGAATTTTAAAAATCATTCAAAATTTAAAAGAATAGCAGAGTCCACACCACAACTATAACAATAATATAATATAATTTATAATGTTCCTGTGGCTCAGTGGTAGAGCATTGCGTTAGTAGCGCAAAAGGTGGTGGGTTGAAATGCATAAATTATTATTAATTATTAATTATTAACAATAACAGCACAGAGGAACAATATTGTTGGAATTACTTTCAAAACAATTTTTCCCAGCTGATGAACGATAAAACAGACAGTTTATTTCTGCAGTGAAAAGGTAAAAAAAAATTAAGCTGAATAAAGTTAGAAGTTTATTATTATGAAAAATTCCAAAAAATACTTTTTTAGGTTTTATGTTAAATACATATTTTGGAAAACATGTTTTACTCTAAAACAGTGTGAAAATCAAAGCTAAATAAGTTCACTTTTCAAAATCATGTTTAATACTTGCATTATTGACACAATATTTTCCTAATTAATGCTGTACAGTTGCTTTGACACAATTTGTATTGTTAAAAGCGCTATATAAATAAAGGTGACTTGACTTGACTTGTATTTACATATCAAGTGGCAAAACCTTTACCAAGTTTCGTACTATTCCGATAAAGTAAAAAAAATGATAAATGTCTGTTGTGTCCATTTTTTTCTCATTTTGTGGTCATAGACTGGTCATTTAATTTTGACAGACAGATCTTTCTTACCCAAAGATATGCGATCATAAAATTTAGATTATAGCAAGAGTCATGAAACTGCATTTGTGTGGTATCTCTTTTTCAATTTTCTCTCTAGATAATAGCACTCAGCTTCTGTCTATCATTTAGCATTCTTATTACAGTAACTCTTTATCTAAACTTCCATAATATTTCATTGCACTTGTAATCAAGTATTAGTGAATAAGTGTGATGAGGCATGTTTTTCCATGTGAGCAATGAAAAATGTTTTGAGGATAAGCAGGCTATGAGTATAAATGTGCCTTAGATAATTAATTCAGTTTTCCAATTAAAGTTCTCTGTGGGAGTTTTTCCCCTCAGGGATTTACAAGCTTTAAATGAAGTAGGTAGTGAAGTGTAACTACATCTGATGGAAAGGTTGAAGTATTTTACAAGTGAGAGCGCAGAAAAATATCTGATTACATTTTATTGGCAATACCACGACACTTTAAGTAAATTGTTAAAAACGAATGGAGTCAATGATTGTAAAGATTGAGGATTTTTAAACGTTTTTTTAAAGCCTGTTCCTATTGCATCTGAAATAACGGAAATGATGATTATGATGCTGGTAATGTTTTTTGTTGTAATTCCATGACTGTTTTTATTGCTTTTCATTTTAAACACTTCCTTTTTTCACTTCACTTGCAATGCATATCACTTTCTCTTCAGCCCCTGTAATGCATCACATTTACATTCTGGAGGCCTAGAAAGAGTGACCCACTTTTCTAGGTCATGCAGCATCTTAATACTGACTCTCATGTGGTGTCTGGAAATACTGTCACTTGTTGTTCACAGCATTATGTTCTGAAATGTTTCATATGTGAATTGTGCGGCTGATTGATTCTTTCAAATCCAGTGGGGTCTATTATGGATTTAAAGAAGCAGACCATAACATGGCCTTTTAGATCCACTTTGATCTTTAATGCTATAATGGGGGGCATTTGTGGCAGCATTATAATGGATTAGCCAAAAAAGTGTCTAGAAAATAGATGCATTTTGAAGCTACAGAATGACATGATGGGACTGTTAGGGTGGTTTAATGAGTTCACATTTACATGTAATCCTTTAGTGATATGGAGGTAAATATATTTGTCTTGCTGTTCATGATGGACAGCCCTAAATACCTCCCTTGATGTATGAAGATGATATAATTAAGCAAAGCAGTGTTGCTTTTATGAAACAGTTCAATAAACAACATTAATATGAATATATAGTAACCAAGATTTTACACATAATATTGACAGTTACTTTATCTATTTTTGCTTTCCCAACAAAAATAGATTGCAACGAATCCACAGCAGAATTAACCACTTATCATCTCTATCTCTATATGATTATCATATCAACACACTGTAGTGGTGTTTAAATTCCTGAATAAATA